GCTGCAGGTTTGAGACAGAAAATAGGAGGGACCCGGTCAGGTTCTTGAGCCGATTGTTGTTGCCTTCGGGTAGCTCTGGGGATAGGGACAAGGGAACTGGGATGCAGGGACAGAAGGAGACAAGAACCATGAGGATACGGCCATGGGGATGGGATCATGAGCTGGTGGGTGTGACTTGGGCTAGCATGGGCTGTGTCCATGGTGTCCTCATGCCCAGGGTGTCCACAGTGTCCCCATGTTCTGCCTCTGCCCAGGGTGGCTGCAGTGACCCTGTTCCCAAGGTGTCTGTGCCACACAGATGTGGTGCATGGGTGGCTGTGACACAGACGTGTCCCCTGGCCCTGCAAATCTTTTGGGGGGCACACAGACACATTTTCCCACAAGAACTGCTGTCTCCATGAGGACAGATTGGGGACAGTCCCCACACCCTGCCCCCATGCTGCTCTCCCTGCAGTGCCACCCCCACCCAGCCCTGTCCTTTCTCCCTTCCAGCACAGACCCTCGGCCTCGTTGGTGAGTCCTTGGCAGATGCCATGTCCCCACCCCGCTGTCCCCAGCCCCGTGCTGGCCCTGGCAGTCTGGTGTCCCCTGGCAGACTGGTGTCCCCTGTCACCCGCAGGCGCCCAGACCACCCAGATCCTCGTGGAGCCCCCCTGGAGGCCACCAGTGTGGTGGGACCCGGTGACACTGACCTGCCAGGGCTCAGGGATTGCCGGTGCCACCACCTGGTACAAGGACGGGCAGCAATGGAAGCACCAAGGACACGACAATATCACTGTCACCGAGAGTGGCACCTACACATGTGACAGACCCGGCACTGGGCTCAGCCCCCCCGTGAAAGTTCCACATGGTGAGGGGGGGTTGGGTGTCCCCAGCCTGGCACCCGCAGGGACCCCGAGCGTTCTGGGTGGGCTCTGCTCCATGGGTCACCTCCTGTGTGATCAGAGCCCATCCCCCTGCTCTGGGGACATTCCAGAGCATCCCAGTGTGGGGAACCCCGTGTTGGAATTGGGGACCCCTGGTGCGCTGGGTGAGACCCAGTGAGGGGTTCCCAGTGCCATCAGGTGTGACAGGTCCCCTCTGTCCCCCAGACCTGCTGGTGCTGCAGGTGCCAGCGCGGGCCCTGCTGGAGGGGGACAAGGTGACACTGCGCTGCCGGGGCTGGCGGAACTACACGGTCACCTCGGTGTCCTTCTACCGCGAGGAGACAGAACTGGGGGTGTTCCCAGATGGGACCGAGCTGTCCCTGTCCCCTCTGCAGCTGAAGCACAGCGGCCAGTACAGCTGCAAGGGCCAGGTGGAAGTCTGGGGGTGGCACAAGTCAGCGCCAGTGACAGTGACAGTGCACGGTGAGCACGCCACAGCTGCCACCCCGACACCCCCACTGCCATCCCCAGGGTCTCAGGCCCACAAATCCCCCTCCCATCTGCTTCCCTGAGCTCTTCTCTCTGCCAGTGCTGGAGGGTCCCCCCGAGCCCACCAAGGGGTCCCCCCTGACTCTCAGCTGCCTCAGCACCCTCAGCCCCCTGCGGCCCCGAGCCCCTCTCCTGCACATGTTCTACCGCAATGGGCAGGTGGTGGGGGACTTGCAGGGGTCCCCGCAGCTGCTGGTGCCCACTGTGGGGCTCTCCCACTCGGGGAATTCCAGCTGCCAGGTGCGCTCTAAGCGCGGGGCCGTGTGGAAGAGCAGCGCCCGGCTCCGCGTCACGGTGCGCAGTGAGTGCGGGGATGGGTACGGGGAGCCCCCAGAGACCCCTTGGGTGCCTTGCCTGTCTATGTTCATGTGCTTCAGACACCTCTGCTGGGTTCCCCCGCATCTCTCCTGTGTCCCCTCCCCCCTCCGTGGTGTGACCCCATCCCCAACATCCCCCATCACACCCATCCCCCTGTCCCTATCCCCCCTTCCCCCTGCCAGCTGCCAACCCCTCCCTGTGGCCTCAGCCCTGTCTGTGTCCCCACAGTGCCTGTTGCCAATGCCACCATCACCCTCAGTCCCCTGGCACACCAGGTGCATGCAGGTGACCCCATGACCCTGCACTGCTCGGTGCAGGTGGGCTCAGACCCTGTCACCTTCACCTGGCTGCACAACGGGCAGGAGGTGTCCCGGGGTCCCCTCCTGGAACTCGGGGACATCGATGTGGGACATTCGGGCACCTACCAGTGCATGGCCACCAACCAGCTGGGACAGGACGGGCACCGTGTGTTCCGGGCACTCAGCCCAGAGCTGGCCCTGGAGGTGACACCTGGCTCATCCTGGGTCACAGGTGAGGTCACACGGGGTCACTGGGGGGTGCAAGGCACCTGAGGTGAGTGGTAGCACTGATGTGTTCCCCCTGTCCCCAGCAGTGGCTGTGAATGTCGGCAGGACCCTTTTGTTCCTTCTCCTGCTCCTGGCTGTCATCGGGGGCTGTCACTGGTGGCACCGCTGGGGTGGGTGACTGCGGTGGGGGGGGATGAGGTCCTACAGGAATGGAGGGAAGCCCCACACATTGGGGGGTCTGTTGGGGTATCACCCAAAGTCCCTGACCTGGAGGAAGCTGAGCCCTCAGTGAGCTTTGCTTGAGGTGCCCACAGGTTAGGCAGCATTTTGGAGGGTCTGGGGCTGTCCCAGGAAGGGCGTTGAGGAATATTGGGGTGTCACTGGGATCTCCTGGGGGCTTTTAGGGAGGTGCTGGAGAGTTGTGCAGGAATGTTGAGAGCTCTTCAGGGATCCTGGAGCAGTTTGGAGGCTTCCTGCATCCCATTCTTGGGGTTCTTGGGGGTTTGAGGGGGGCTCAGGGTGTGAAGAATCAGGGTCCCGTGGCGGTTCAGGGGTCTTGGGGAGGGGGTTGGAGTACCTGGGTGGCTCAGGTATTCTGGGACTCCTTAGGTGTGATTTTGGGTGCAGGGGCAGTAGTCCTGTAGAAATCAGTGTCTGGTGGGGCCTCAAGGGTCCAGTGAAAGGTCCCATGTGGCATTGAAAGGTCCCAGGTGGGGTTGGGGCCCAGGGGACCCCATGATCACCCCATCCTCTTTTTCTTGCAGCTGCCAGGAAATCCCAGGACAGGTGAGTGGGGAGCTCCAGCCATGACTCTCCTTGACCCCCTCCCCAGACACCCCTCAGACCCCCCTTACCCCACAGGGTCACCCCAGAACCCCCTAATCCCTTGCAGGAGAGGGAGGAGCTGGACACCGAGCAGGCAGGGGTGAGTACGGGGGATGGGTGAGGACATGGACATGTCACCCATGGGTGTCACCCCAAGCCAGGTGTTTCTTACAGGGCCCCCCACTGTCCCCCCAAGGACCCCCAGGCGACCCATACAGCGGTGCCAAGACCACATGGGCAACTGCAGGACACCAATGACATCTCTGGGAATGTGCTGTGACACTGGGGGACACTGGGACTCCCCATCCCATGGCTCCCATGGTGGCCCATCCTGCCCAGGGTGATGACCACGAGTCAGGGGGGGCTGCACAGGGCACCCAGTGCTCCCCTTTCCCCCTCCCAGTGCTCCCAGTACTCCCATAGCTCCCCAGGCTCCTCCCAGTGCCAGGGGACATGGGACCCATTTCCTTCTTATTTGGTCCAAAATGCAGCTTTTTGGTTAAACTGGCAGAGATGGTGTTTGTTCAGCTTGGTAGGGCTTTAGGAATGGGATTCTCCAGTTCTGGGCTGCCACTAAAAACCAGGGGCTGCTGCCCCTCCCTGTAGAGGCACAAAGATCCCAAAGGGTTGAGAGAAGAACAATTCCAGAAACAGCAATGTGAGAACAAAACCAACAGCAACAGCAGCAACCGTGTTCAGAATCCAAAGGGCCACAAAAGGAACGATTTCCAGGGAAAGCCCCCATAAAGGAACAAACCCCAGACACAGTCCCCAGCACAATTCCTCCACCAGGAGGGACCTGTCAGCGCCCTGGACCTTCCTAGCTCTGATGGCCAAAGTGGCCTTCAGAAGGCTCTGGATTCTCTTGGACCCTGTCCCAAACCCCTCCTCTGCCGTGTTCCTCACATGAGGATGTCACAAAGGCTCTGTGGGGGTTCTGGAGCCTCCCCCTTTGCCAGGGCAGCCGGGATCAGGCCATGGCAGTTGAATTCCCTCTTGTCTCCACAGCAGCTCTGCCAAAGCCCCATGATGCATTTTGGGCTCTCTGAAATCCTCTCTCCTGAGAGAATCTGTGCCAAGGATTCCTGGGGCCTCCAGGCCAGTCCCAAGGGCCTGTTTTGGCCATTCCCAGTCGGGGTCACTTCATGTCCCAGCTCAGTCCCTGTTGGGATCCCCCTGTCACCCCAGGAACAGAGATGGGCTCTGCCCCTACGGATCTCAATTGCATCAGGGACATTGTGCCCTGTGGTCCCCTAAAGCCATGAGCTCCTGTGGCTCTGCTGTGCCAGGCCATGGATCCACACAGTCCAAGGGAACCCAGTGTCCCTCTGGCCCACCTGGCAGGAGCCAGGGCCCCTCTAGTCCTGGTCTTAGCACTCACTCCTTGTAAAATATGACCAGGAGGTCCCTTCCAGAGGATGGGAAGTAACATCATCCCTCCTATTCTGACTGGGGACTTGCCCACGGGAGACTGGAGCAGATTTATCCTTGTAGAATTTCCTGTGGTAGTTGTTGTTCCTCTCAACTCCCATCCCTGTGCTGCCAGGGCACAGAGGGGTTTTCCATCCCATTTCCTTTCTGTGGTCCTGCAGGTAAAACCACAGGTTTGGGAGCACTGGGAGGAGGAGCAGGAGGGAAGAGCGAGAGCCCCATGGAAAACACTCTCAGAAAATATTATTTAATGGAAAACTCAGTCAGTGGTTGTGCTGGTTTGAAAGTAAACCAGTGGGAGAAATGAACACTGCACAAATACCTTGAGAGAGATTTCAGGTCAGAATTACAATTTAATAGAAGGATTACAATAAATGCAATGATACAGAAAAACTGGCTTAAAACCACAAAGGCAGAGTACAACCTGGCATCCTGTCGGTCAGGGTGGACTCCTGTTGAAGTGATGGTTGCAGTCTTGTTGAAAGCAGTGGTCCTGGGGAAGGTCTGGTCCTCCTCTGGAAGGTCTGGTTCTCCCCTGGGTCCCTCGAGCGGTGCTGTGTCCCAAGTCCCCAAAGAGCCCAGATTATATATGGCCAGATTCAGGCAGGAATGTTCAGTACTCCCCCAGAGCAGGGAATTTCACAGTGGAATTATGTATTCCAATGACTCATGGGATGTTCTGGGGAATCCTTGATGGCCTAGGCTCCACAGGCTGCCCACTGGGACTGAGTCAGTTGGGGAAGACAAACACAGACTGCCTGCAGGGTTTGCCTCCTTCCCTTATGGAACACCCAGCTTGCAGCCTGAGGGCTCAGCTGTGCACTGGGCAGCTGCAGGGAGTGACCCACCCATTCACAGTCCATCAGGATGGTGGAGATGGGAGGAGAACACACAGTTTGGGTACACCCCACCTTGTAACCCAGGACAATGGAAACGGAGCCCCAAATCCGTGGGGAATCCCAGCTGGTTCCTGGTGGGGCTGGGCCTAGGAGGGGGCTCTGCTGGCTCGGCTCCGGGCCCTGCGCTCCACCTGGACAAAATACTTGTCAGGAATTCCGGTGGCTCTGCAGAGAAAAGAATCCATCAGGGATTTAGGACCGTGGCCCCACAGCAAGTTCCGTTTGCTGAGGATGCAGAGGGAGCTAGGAGGTGGCCCAGGATGGGACACCAGGAAGGACTCGGGGAGCCCAGAGAGCCCAGGGAAGCAGCACTGGCAGCCCCTGACCTGAACTCCTGCAGCTTCTGCTGCCTGAACTGGGCGAGGCGCTCGCTGCGCTGCCGGATCTCCTGCTGCTGCCGCCGGCCCTCCTCAATGAAGGCCGCCCGCTCCCGCTGCCGCTGCTGCTGCAGCTCCTGGATCTGCCGCCGGAGATCTTCGGCATGGGCGCGCTGCCGGAGCTCCCTCTGCTCCTGCTCCAGCTTCTCCCGCTCCAGCTGCTCCTGATGGGCCCTGTGGAGGAGCTGGGCTGGCTCAGGGACCCTGCCACAGCCCCCCCACACCTGGCACAGCACCTGGGCTGGCACTGGAGCCCCCAGAGTCGCCAGCTGGAACTGGGAGCCACTTGGCCACTGCCTCAGCCATCCCTTGGTCCCGTGTGCCTCACCTGAGCACCCTCTGGAATTCCTGGCGGTCTTGCTGCACCTGCATGGCCAGGTACTGCTCCTTCTGGGCCACCTGCTCCAGCCGGTCCTGCTTCAGCTGCTGCTCCAGCTCGGCCTTCTTCCGTGCCTTCTCCAGCTCCTGCCGCCGCCATTCCCGATCTGCGACCTCTTGGTTCCTCTTGGCCCTCAGAGCATCCTGCCCAAATAGGGGACAGTGCTGGGCTTCCCTCAGGGGCAGCTATGGAATCCCTTGGCTGTGCCTTTGGCTCTGCCAGCACCGCTCCAGGACAACCCCTGGCTCCGGGGGCTGGTCCTGCAGACCCCCCACATCCAGGGTCTCTGCCCTTTGCCAGTCTGGGGACAGGAACAGTGGCAGGGGAGCACGTCACCTGTGCCTGGGGCACTCACCCGCTCTGCCTGCCAGGCCTGGGCCCGCTCCTGTGTGGCTCTGAGCCGGGCCAGCTCCTTCTCCTTCTCCAGGCGCAGTTGTTGCTGCTCTGCCTCCAAGGTGGCCTCCCGCTCCTGCGGGGGACAGAGCCCCAGGGTGGGACAGAGCTCCGGGGTGGGACAGACCCCCAGGACAGCTCCTGCAGCCCCTGCCCACCCCATCAGGAGCCTGCTGCTCTTACAGCCTTCTGCCGCTGCTGCTCCAGCACCCGCTCATCCTCCAGCCTCTCCTGCTCCCTCTGTTGATCCTTCAGCCTCTGGCTCTCCATATTGAAATGTTTAATATCAGCATGGATTTGCTTTAGTCGCTCCTGTTTCTGCTCCCAGGCCTGGAAATGCCATGTAGGGTTGGAGACCACCAAGCTGAGTGCTCCTTCCTCCTCCTCACTCAGGGCAGGGAGGCTTTGGGCCATCTCCCTAGGATGTCACAATGTCCCCAAGGGACCAAAGCTCTGATCCTTCTGGCTGCTGTCCCCACTCCTTGGGTGTGGCTGATCCAGCTCTGCCAATCCCTTTCCAGCCAGGTGGAAACCTCCCTGAACCCCCCTGTTCCCTGCTCGCACCTTCCGATCCTCCCTCTTCATCTGCTCCAGTCGCTCCAGCTGCCTCTGGCCCTCCTGGTACAGCTCCTCAGCCCTCAGTGCCCGCTCCTCTGCATTCTGCTCCATCTGTTTCACAATGTCCTGCCGGGCTCTGGGAATACGAGAGCAGAAGGGTTTCCTGTGGCTCCATCCTGCTCCCCATCGTGGGAACGCTGGCATGGACAGGGCTGGTGTGGTTGCAATGGGCCAGATGCCTCCATGGGGAAGAGAGAGGGATGCCCACCTCATCAGCTCCTGCTTCCTCTGGCGCTCCAGCTCCTCCTGGACCTCCACGCCCTTCTCCCGCTCCATTTCCATCATCTTGTCCAGGCGCTTCTCCTCCTCCTCCAGTTCCTTGTTGATCATCCGCTTCTCCAGGACTTGCTTGTCCCGGATCATGTTGCACTTGGCATTGAGGAACAGCTGTGGGGACAAGAGGTGTCTGTGGCTCAGAGCTGCACTGGGACACAGGGAGCAGGGAGAGGCAGGGAAGGAGAGGAAGAGCCTGGGAGCACGAGGAGCAGGGGAGGCTCAGCAGTGCCAGGTGACAGAGGGGAGCACTGGCCCTACTGCGTTCAGCTCCCGCACGTCTTCCTCCTGCTCCAGCCTCATCCTCATCGCCCGCTGCAGCAGCTTCTGCTCCTCCTGCTGCAGCTCCTCCTCCACGTCTCTCTGACAGTTCCTCTTGTCCTCCAGCTCTGCCTTTCTCTGCTCCTCAATCTGGGCCTTTTTCAGGGCTTCCTGCGGGGACAGAGAGCACTGCCCAATCCTGGGCACCTTGCCGAGGGCTTGCAGGGGTCACACTTCAGGTGCCGCATTCCTGACACTGAGTGGGGACATGTCAGGCACCTGGGGCCCTGGCACGGCCCTGAGCACCCCTCCCCACACCTCTGGGCAGACACCTCGTGCCTTTGGAAGGCTGGGAGTGCTGAGCACAATTTCAGGGATGCTGCTCAGCTCTCAGTGGAGCCCTGAGCCCTGCAGCCTCCCCTGTGCCCCAAAAGGTGGTGGACAGAGGGAGGATGCCCTGTGGGAGCCACCACCCCTCAAATCCAGCTGTGGATCAGGAAAAGGGGGAAGCAGGAAGGGAAATGCCTACAAAAGCAGCGTCCTGTCTGGCTCTCAGGGTCTTCAGCCTGTCCCAACGCTCCTCTTCAGTCGGGGCTCGAGCTGATTCCTTGAGTTTCTCATATTCCTTTTCTCCAATGATGAGACACGGTTGGGGCTTCTCCTGGGGGATGCTGGGGAGCACAGGGAGAGAGCTCAGTGGCACAGGTCCCCAACAGGTCCCTGTGTTCCCTGAGCTGCCCACCTGGCCACCAAGCCAGCCCAGAGCAAGGTGGGAAGTGTTGGAGAAGCCATGGGGACCCAGCTCTCTTGTTTTGGGGTGCGGCAGGAAGGGAAAGTGTGCTGAAAGTGGCACCTGCCTGGGATGCAGGGGGCAGGATGCCCGAGGGTGGCCACGACACACTGCCAATCCCTGTTCCCCAGAGATTTTGGGATGCTGCACTGACACCTGCTGGGCCCCAAAAACCCCTCAGGGCTCAGGCACAGCCTTACATGAGCTCCCGGATCAGGTCCTTGGTGATGACTTGGATGGTCTTGAGCTTGGGCTTGAAGGAGAGTAGCTCTCGAGGATGTTTTGGCACATCCTGAGAGATCACGACAGGATCACTGGAGCCCGTGACCTGCTGAAAAGAAAAGTTTTAGGGACCCGAACCCTTCCCCCCACCTGGTGCTCCCCGGACACCAAGAGATCCTGGCAGGAACTCTGGGCCTCTGCAGGGACCAGCTGGGGGGTGTCAGGGGCACCTCCAGAGGGGACAGAGGGGCCGGGAGGAGCTGGACATCCTGCGGGGTGTGGGGGTCTGGGGAGCCCGGGGGAGACATCGGGACGGACGGACTGAAATCCCGGCGGTGAAAGCTGGAGACGACGGGCGAGGAGGGACCTCCGGGAGGAGCCCCGGGCACGGAGGGACCGGGATCCTGTGCCGGCAGTCGCGGCTGCCATCGCGCTGCCACTGCCGGGGCTGTCGGTGCTGTCCTATTGTCCTGGAGCCGACCGTCACAATGTGGTGGAACCGACGGCTGGGATGTGTCTGCTCCGACTGTGACAGTGTGTCCCAAGTCACTGTCGCGATGTGTCGGGACCAACTGTTGCCATGGCAACGCCCCAACAGCTCGCAGGGTGTGACGGGCCGGGGCGGGGTGGGGAATTGGGGGTGGTGCATCAGGCAGGAGAGGCGGGGCTTTGGCTGAAATAGGCGGGGTTTGACAGAGCTGTGTCACCCAGTGTGCTCACACTTGTCCCATGTGCTGTCCTCCTTGCACAGACCTCCTGAAAGTCCCCCTACATGAACATGACATACGTGACCCCCGATCCCAGAGGGTCACCGGAGTCACCAGTGACGGCCCCACCCCCTGCTCTTTGCCCCGCCCTTTCAAGCCCCGCCTCTCAGCTCAGTTCTGCCCCTGTACCCCAGGTCTGCCCCTCCCATTGCCCCGCCCCCTCAGCCCCTTTGCTCTTGCCCCGCCCAGTCCCTCCTGACTCCACCCAAGCCACGCCCATTGATCATGGCCCCGCCCTCACATGTGGCTGCTGCCGCCGCGGCCTTGGGGTCCCTGCCCCCCCAGACCGGGGTCCCCCCTTGTACCCCAGCAGGAGCCTCCTGCCCTCCCCCAACCCCAAATCACGACCATCGAGGCCTGGAAAGAAAAGGATCCGTTTATTGGGATTACGGGAGTTTATTGGGGCACAGGGGCTGCTCCCCAACCCCCTGGAGGGGGCCCTCCAGCAGCCCCCAAGGCACTGCGGGGCGGTGGGGTGGGCGCAGCGGCACCGCCCCCACCCAGCTAAATAATAATAATAATAAAAAATTACTTTGGTCCTGACAAAACTGGCGAAGGGGCGGCTGCCCGGGCCGGGGGGCACCCGGCTGGTCCACGGCGAGGGGTTAAGGCAGTTTTGGGGGGGGGGGCCCTGGCAGGCAGAGGCCTGGGGGGTCCGGAGGGGCTCAGAGGATCTGGCGGGGCATCCCGTAGCCCGTCATGCCAGCCTGTGAGGCGCCCCGGTTGGTGCCCATCTGCAGCCCGATGACGCTCTGCCCCTCCTTCAGCTTGTCCTCGGAGAAGACGCGCCGGTTCTCCTGCGACTTCCTGCGGGCACGGCGGGTGTCAGCATCCCCGAGGGACCCCCCAGCCCGCCCTCCTCCCCATCCAGCACCCCCACCTACTTGGGGAACCAGTTGGGGTCTCCCACGAAGAGCCCGTCACCCTTGGCCACGGCCAGGCTGCCCAGGTTCATCAGGGTCCTCTGCACGCACGCCATGTTCTTCCCTGGAGGACCCACAGCAGCCTCAGCTCCATCTCCATCCCCGTCCCCGTCCCCGTCCCAGCCCACGGCCTCCGGGTCGGTCACTCACCTTCCCAGAGATCCACGGTCTGGAAGATGTCGGTGGCGGCGATGCCGTAGCGCTCGGCCGCCTGCAGGAACTGCGAGATCTGCTCCATCTGCTTGAAGGCCATGGCCGACGCCTGGATTTTGGCCACGGGCGCCTGGCCCCGAGGGTGGAGGCTGTTGATGAGCCGGCAGAGCACCTGAAAGCAGGGGCAGGGCTAGGGTTAGGGTTAAGTTAGGGTTAGGGTTAGGGTTAGGTTAGGGTTAGGGTAAGGGTTAGGGTTAGGGTTAGGGTCAGGATTCGGGTTAGGGTTAGGATTCGGGTTAGGATTTGGGTTTTGGTTAGGGTTAGGTTAGGGTTAGGGTCAGGATTAAGGTTAGGGTTAGGTTAGGGTTAGGGTTAGGGTTAGGATTCGGGTTAGGATTTGGGTTTGGGTTAGGGTCAGGATTAAGGTTAGGGTTAGGTTAGGGTTAAGGTTAGGCTTAGGTTTAGGTTTAGGTTTAGGCTTAGGCTTAGGCTCAGGTGTGTGGCACTCTCACCCTAATGCCCAGCTGTACTCACCGTGCCATCCTTCAGCCACTGCTGGAAGCCGTCCCTGCCGGGTGCCGGCTGTGCCACCGCGCCGCCGCCGTCGTTGCCGCACTGTGCCAGGATCCAGCGCACCAGCACCTGCTCCAGCTCGGGGTCGTACTGCCGGTCGATCTTCTGCTGCACCTCCCGGCTCAGCCCGTACGAGGGGCCCCGGTTTGCCATGCTGACGGCAGGGGGGTCTGCGGGGATGGCACCCATCAGTGGCGCCGGTGGCACCGCAGCCCCCGCCCCGTGAGCCCCGTCCTGCCCGATGTCCGGCGTGCAGCCTTATCACCCGTGCCAGGCGCTGCCCGGGCTCTGCCCTCTTCCTGCCCAGCTGGCGGGAGCAGGCGCTGGCTCTGTGCCCACCCGAGGGGCAGGGTGGGCAGCGCCGTGACCCCTCTGTGCCACCCTGAGCATCCCCATCCCGCGGCCGGGCCCCGGCGCCGCTCACGGGCTTGGCAGCCACCGGGGGCCGGTCGGAGCTTGTTTGCTGATCTCGCCCGTTTGCTCGGGCCCGCAGCCAGATCCGGGGCTGGCGCAGGAGCGTGGGGCCAGCGCTGATGGCGGCGGTGTCCCCACCCCGGCGGGGCAGCCAGACCCCACCCCTGGCCAGGTGCTGTGCCAAGGTGCCACTGGAGCGGTGCCACCCGTGCTGGAGATAATGCCCACAGGGGACGTGAGCAGAGCAGCCCTGCCCGTACAGCCAGGGTGTTCCGAGCCCCCCCGGGTCTCTCTGTGCCCTCTGCCCACCAGGGCCGTGGTGGGCACATGAGGCTGCCCAGTCCTGCATCGCCCCCACGCCCTGTCCTGCCCCGCTGGCATCTGGGGGCACCGAGAAGCCAGAACACGTGCAGGTGGCCCTGCCTGCCCCGGTGTCCCTGTGCCAGCTGGGCACATGTGGCAATTGCTGCCCAGGAGGTGCCCAGCTCACACCCGGGGGTGCCAGGCTGAGCTCGGGGCAGAGCTCACACACCAAGCTCGGGGGTCTCAGCACCGGGAGCAGCCCCGGGACGTGCTGCTCTCAGGGACAGGAGGAAAACCGACCCCAGCCGGGTGTGCCCCCGGAGCCAAAGCCTTGGGCCACCGCGGGGGTCTCCAGGGGCACGGGGACCCCGCGGGGGGTGGCGTGGGGAGCGGCCGGCCGGGGGCCAAGGCGTTGGGAAACAAAGAGGAGCTGGAACTGGGATCATTTCCCGACCCAGCCGGAGCTTGCCCAGGCGGGATGGGGACACACCCGGACCCAGCCCCGCTGCCCCGGCGACCTCCGGACTCCGCGGGAGGGGCTGCGCCCAATCCGGCTGGGCTGGGGACCCTGCGGCCATCGTGGGGACAGCGAGGGTCCCAGTTATGGGGCAGCCACCCGGGGGTCTCCCGGGACAGCCTGGGCACCCCCGAGCTCTCTCCTAGGACTGGCAGGGAACGCGCTGTACCCGGCCCCGCTGGGAGAGAGCCACCCTGGGGACCCCCGAGACCCTCCAGTGCCAACAGGAAGGGGACCCCAACCCGCACAAGGCGACCCTGGGGACCCCGACCCACCCCGGGGACAGCAGGGAGAGGCTGCACCCAGGGCTCGACCCCCCTGGGCTGCCCAGAGCCCCCCGGGGACAGCGGGGAGGGGACACCTGGGGGTCACAGCCACCCCGGCGGCGGCGGGGAGGGGACCGGAGCCAGCCCCGCGGGCGCGCCCCGGGGCTCCCCGCACGGCGCGAGCTATCTCCTAGGACTGGCAGGGAACGCGCTGTACCCAGCCCCGCTGGGACCGAGCCACCCTGGGACCCCCGAGACCCTCCAGTGCCAACAGGAAGGGGACCCCAACCCGCACAAGGCGACCCTGGGGACCCCGACCCACCCCGGGGACAGCAGGGAGAGGCTGCACCCAGGGCTCGACCCCCCTGGGCTGCCCAGAGCCCCCCGGGGACAGCGGGGAGGGGACACCGGGGGGTCACAGCCACCCCAGCGGCGGCGGGGAGGGGACCGGAGCCAGCCCCGCGGGCGCGCCCCGGGGCTCCCCGCACGGCGGGGCCGGAAGCCGCACCCCGGTCCCGTTTCCCGGGGCCAAGATGAGGACAGGGTGGCCGTGGTGGGGACAGAGTGGCTGTGGTGGGGACAGGGTGGCCATGGTGGGGACAGAGTGGCCATGGTGGGGACAGAGTGATCATGGTGGGACAGAGTGGCCGTGGTGGCCAAGATGAGGACAGGGTGGCCACGGTGGCAAGTGGACAAAGGGGTTGCATGGGGACAGTGTGGCTTTGGTGGCCAAGGTGAAGATGGGGTGGCCGTGGTGGGGAGGGGACAGGGTGGCCCTGGTGGCAGGGGGACACAGGGGCTGTGTGGGGACAGAGTGGCTGTGGTGGCCAACGTGAGGATGGAGTGGCTGTGGTGGGGACAGGGTGGCTCTGGTGGCAGGGGGACACTGGGGCTGCATGGGGACAGGGTGGCTGTGGTGGCTGAGGTGACGATGGGATGGTTGGGGTGGGGACAGGGAGGCCATGGTGGCAGAGGGGACAGGGGGACAGTGTGGCTGTGGTGGCTGAGATGAGGATGGGGTGGCGCCTGAACGGCTGCAGTGGGGACAGGGGTGACACAGGGGACACGGGGATAGCATGACTGTGGTGGGGACAGCGTGGCTGCAGCAGCAGGGACAGAGTGACCATGACGGGGACAAGCTGGGCACAACCGCCCTGAGGATTTAGGTGGGGGCAGCGGTGACAAAACCTCTCACGGTGGCCGTGCTGGGGACAATCCCCACAGTGGCACCGCTGGTGCCAGGACCCTGCTGTGATGATGGGGACAACCAGGGCCTGGCTCTGGTGGCAGCTGGGGGACAGCTGAGGCCCGGGGGGGGGAGGTGGCCTGGCCAGCAGCGCCGTGTCCCCGGTGGCGTTGGCACAAGTCCCGTCTCCATGGCGAGCGCCACCAAAACAACAAACAAAGCCGGGCCCGAGGCCACCGGCCGCCTCCGCCGCAGTGTCCCTGTCACCAAAGCCCCCCCCGGCACCCAGAGCAGCCCCCGCCGTGCCCAGCTCGGCCGTGGTGCCACCAGGGCACGGCTGGGGTGGCACTGTCACTCTGTTCTGTCACCAGAGCTGGGCTGTGATGGCACTGTCACTCTGTTCTGTCACCAGAGCTGGGCTGGGGTGGCACTGCCACTCTGTTCTGCCACCAAAGCTGGGCTGGGGTGACACTGTCACTCTGTTCTGTCACCAGGGCTCGGCTGGGATGGCACTGTCACTCTGTTCTGTCACCAGGGCTCGGCTGGGGGGGCACTGTAACTCTCTGGTGCCACCAGAGCTGGGCTAGGGTGGCACTGCCACTGTTCTGTCACCAAAGCTGGGCTGGAATGGCACTGTCACTTGTTCTGTCACCAGAGCTGGGCTGGGGTGGCACTGCCACTTTGTTCTGTCACCAGAGCTGGCCTGGGATGGCACTGTCACTCTGTTCTGCCACCAGGACTTGGCTGGGATGGCACTGTCACTCTGTTCTGCCACCAGGACTTGGCTGGGATGGCACTGTCACGCTGTTCTGTCACCAGGGCTCGGCTGGGGTGGCACTGTCACGCTGTGGAGCAGCCCAGAAGTGTCCCCTCGCCCTCCCTGGGTCCCTCCCGCACCCATGGGTGTCACAGGGTGGGGTGGCTTTACCCTCCAGGGGCTGTGGGTGTCCCCTGGGGACCTCGGGTGGCGTTTCCTGTGGCTTTGGGGACGTGGGTGGGGGAGACGTGGAGGAGGGAGCAGGGCAGGGAGTGACACAGGGGTGACCCATGGGACAGGGGTGACATGGGGGGGACAAGGTCAGGGGGTGACAGAGAGGTGCAGAACAGGGGTGGGGTTAGGGGTGACACGGGGGACAGGACCCAGGGGTGACAAAGCAGGAGACTGAGGGGTGACACAGGGGACAGGACCCACAGGGGGATGGCCCAGGGTGACACAGAGCAGGACCCAGGGGTGACAAAACAGGAGACTGAGGGGTGACACAGGGGACAGGACCCACGGGGGGATGGCCCAGGGTGACACAGAGCAGGACCCAGGGGTGACAAAACAGGAGACTGAGGGGTGACACAGGGGACAGGACCCACCCATGGGACAGGGGTGACATGGGGGGGACAAGGTCAGGGGGTGACAGAGAGGTGCAGAACAGGGGTGACAAAGCAGGAGACTGAGGGGTGACACAGGGGACAGGACTCACGGGGGGATGGCCCAGGGTGACACAGAGCAGGACCCAGGGGTGACAAAACAGATTGAGGGGTGACACAGGGGACAGGACCCATGGGGGGTGGCCCAGGGTGACACAGAGCAGCAGCAGGACAGTCCCAAGGGACCTGGGTGACACTGGGGCACAGCCTGGGAGGTCTCAGCCAGGGGACACGGGGTGATTTGGGGACAGGACCCCCAGACGGCACGGGGGGGGTTGATAGGGCAGACACAGCGGGGAGGGGACACTGGGGACAAACTCGGGCAGGGACAGAGGGCAGCAGGAGGGGCACACACGGGCAGGGCAGGGGACAACGGGTAGCAGGCAGGGGGACATGGGAGGGACATGGCAGGGGGACACCGAGGGACAGGGTGGATGTGACAGGGGGACACGATGGGAATATGGGGGGACATGAAGTGGGCGGGGCAAGGGGACACGGGAGGAACTAATAGGGGACATGGGGGGACATGGCAGGGGACTACAAGGAGACACGGGGGGACATGGATGGGCGTGGCAGGGGGACACGTGGTGGACATAATGGGGGGACATGGGGTGGGCGTGGCAGTGGGACACAAGGGGACGTGGGGAGACATGGATGGGCGTGGCAGGGGGACACGTGGTGGACATAATGGGGGGACATGGGGTGGGCGTGGCAGTGGGACACAAGGGGACGTGGGGAGACATGGATAGGCATGGCAGGGGGACACAGGAGGAAGAGATAGGGACACGAGGGGACATGGGGTGGGCGTGGCAGGGGGACACGAGGGGACCTAATGGGGGGACACGGGGTGGGCGTGGGACACGAGGGGACATGGGGTGGGCATGGCAGGGGGACACGGGGGGACATGGCAGGGCGACACGAGGGGACATAATGGGGGGACACGGGGTGGGCGTGGCAGTGGGACACGGGGGGACACAAAGGGACACGGGGGGGCATGGCAGGGTGACAAAGGGGGACGCCATGGGGGTATGGGGGGGGTGACCAACGCCCGTGACCCGACGCGACCCGCGCCGCAGCCCACGCGCGACCCCCGGTGACGTCATCGCCTGTCCCCCGCCCCTCCGGTGACGCGCTCCCGCGCCGTGGCCATATAAGGGCATGAGCGCGCGGGCCACGCCCCCTCCCGCGCTCGCGGGGCCGCCGCCAGGCCCCGCCCCCCTCGCGAGGGAGGGGGAGAACCGAGGGAGGGACACCGGAACGGGGAGGGGAGGGGGGAAACTGAGCAAGGAGGGAGGGGACAGCGACATGGGAGAGGGGACAGGAGTGGCGGCCACCCGCATGAGATTGGGGGGGCGGGACACCGAGGAGATGGCGGGAAAATCCGATGGGGGAGGGGAGAAGATGGGGGGGACACCCCAAGGGAGGAAGATGAGGGGAGACATGAGGAAAAGGGGGGACAGAGCAATTCGCGGGGGGACACGAGAAGATGGGGGGGTACCAGGATTGGGGGGTGGGATTGATAGGGGGAGGCCAGGAGGATGCGAGTGGGGAAGGGGAAGCTGTGGCCGGGGGATGAGGAAGAGGAGGACACAATGGGGGGGCCTGCACAAGGCACGGCGAGCGGGACGAGGTGGGACCCCCGAAGAGAAGATGGAGGGGGTCGTGGCAGAACCAGCCATGCCTCGGGGGTCCCCCCGCCAACAGGAGCCAGAGCTGCTCTCACGCCTCTTTATTCTCCCCCCGCCCATCCTTTCACCCGGGGGGTCCCGGGGGTCCCCCTAAAGCAGCGTGGCCACCTCGAAGCGCTCGGAGCAGCAGCCGCGGGTGCCCACCCTCTGCCGCCGCTGCTGGACCCCCTCCCTGCGGCGCCGCGCCCCCAACCCCTCGGGACGGGGGGTCTGGCCGCGCTCCTGGAGACCCCCCGTTCCCAAGGCCTCCGCCGACACCGAGCTCACCGGGGCCGAGCCGGGCTCTGCGGGGAGATAAGCAGCGTCCGTGGCAGCCGCCGGGGCGGCCACGGGGCTGTGGGCACGGGGGTGGGGGGCGCGGGGGGGCCGCACTCACGGTGCCGCTGCAGGTCCCGCAGGGCGATGGAGGAGCCGGGCCGGGCCGGGGCCGCGCCCCGGTAAAGCTGCAGCGCCTCCAGGAGCTCCGATTCCAGCGCGAACTCCGCGTCCCATTCGTAGTTTTCGTCCACCGAGGTGTTTCTCCTGCGGGGAGGGGGCGAGGGGCACGGGCAGAGGGCGTGAGACCCCCGGGATGGGCTGCAGGAGAGACCCCAAAAAGAGAAACCCAGGGGATGGGCTCCAGGGAAGACCCCAAAAAGTGAGACCCCGGGGATGGGCTGCAGGGGAGACCCCAAAAAAAGGAAACCCCGGGGATGGGCTCCAAGGGAGACCCCAAAAAGTGAGACCCCGGGGATGGGCTGCAGGGGAGACCCCAAAAAGAGAAACCCCGGGGATGAGCTCCAGGGAGACCCCAAAAAGAGAAA